ATATATATATACCTATAGCGATAAAAAAGAAAACCCACCGGCTAGACAATAATGCAAGGAACACTCGAAAATGAGTGATTGGGGATAAGATAAACTCGGGTTGGCTCCCAACGCCCCATGGTTTTGAACTCGAAAATGACAATAATATTATTAATAAGAAAAAAAGAAGGGCACCCACCAGGTCCCAACCGTAGGAGCCGTCAAAATAACGAGTTATCCTTTCAACCGATTAAGGAAAGAAGAATGAGAAAAAGACGAAAGAAAGAAAAGAAAGTAAAAGAAAAAATAAAATAAAGCCAAAAGAGAAATGAAACGTACAGGTAGTTCGGCGGGAGAATCACTCTCTCGGTTAATCACTCGCAGTCGAAGACCGGGGTCGGGTAAGGGCACAGGGGTAGCGCCACCTTAACTACAAACAGCACTCATGCACCCGGACACCCCCTCACACAGTGCATTCATCTACACACCAAAATCCTTGTTCGATCGACCGAATCATTTAGCCCCGGGGCAAGCTGTCGGTCCAGTGCCAAGTAAGCTGCGGATGCGGCTCTGGAAAGGTGAGGGGTGGAAACCCATTTCATTCCCCGATCTACCTACCGCACAGCATTTACTTACTCTTTCATCCCGACTGCTAGAAGAATGATTGCATAATTTGGTTGTGTCCTGGCTGTCTAGAATGGTTTTGAATTGGTGGGCGCCATTGGAACACTGCGAAGCGTGTGGTGGCACGAGCCTTTGTGAACCCCATTTGTATGATCTTGACCATTCGTTACGTGCGTGCGAAAAAATACAGTTGAACAGAAGCATTCCTAACTGTCTCTTGTTTCAGACAAAACCGGAAACCCAGAAGCAGACAACTACTCTGAGAACCTCCGTCCGTCACTGAGTAATAAACCTACCACCACAACCTGGGCTACTCAAAACTTCGGTTCCCAAGACCGTCAATCTCCGTGTGAATCCCGTGATGAGTCTTCTTTCCCTTTTCTTCCTCTTTTCAGCCAGGAAGTTATGGACTACTTTTCGCATTGGTGGATGCCATACTTGACCGCATACCATCGAAGGAATTATGGACGCTGGATTGGCGGTGGCCATTTTCTGTCCTGTGCAAACTGAACTGAACGTCAAGCAGAAACCGAAAAGGTTTTTCATGTACGTCGAATTGAAACGCAATTTGGGGGATGCCATACGTGCCTTGGTTCTGGAAAACAACACGATTAAGGTAGACGCACTGGGGAACTATTTCACTACTGTTCATAGGTTAGATAACAAGATATTAGAACCTGAATCCCCAAACTCTCCTCCACCGAGCATAAGGGAGATAGAGATCTCTGCAGTGGAGGTGTAAAAGGTGCTAGGGGATTTGAACACCAATAAGGCGCCGGGTCACGACGGCATATATCCTGCAATTGTGAAACCACTTGCTCAAACCTAAACAGACCAATTATGCGTGCTGTTTCAAAAATCTCTGGGGGAGGGGTTGCTCCTGATCGACTGAAAAACTTCTGTTTTCGTGGCGATACACAAACGTGGTAGTAGATCATACCCACAGCACTACGGACCTGTAGTGACCATGATTGTACGAAGAAAAGGAACAATCCACGAGGGCGTTTTCCGTTCATATTTTCTTCACCAGAACGGACAAACTCCTTTGACTGCTTTGATATTTCATCTTTAATGAACGCTAATTCACAGGCTTTCTCCCAAGTCAGTTTATCAGCATCCTCTTTCAAGAGTGATTCACGAAGTCGATCATCTTTTATGCCGGATATGAATTGCTGAATCAACATTGATCCTTCAGTTTTCTTCTGTGGAACTTTAGAATACTCACAAAATCGTACTGCTCGGTTTAATCGAGAAACAAACTGTTTCATTGCTCCCCATTTTCCTGAATAATGCGAGAGAATCGGAATCGAGCAGTGAACACATTCAGTTGCGATCCCACGGAACGGTCCAAGCTGCTGAGAGCAGATTGTACGTTGGAACACGCTTGTAAATTGAGATCGTCAAATTTTCGCTGTCCTTCGTCTCCGAGCAAATGACGCAAAAGCCTTAACTTGTGGCTTTCATCCAGAACAATCAATGGATTTAGCACAGGCAGGAGATCGATATAATTGTTAAACGAAGTTTTCCATTGTTCCCAGGACTCTGGAGTAGGTTGAATGTTACGGTCTATCCAAAATGGAGCAGGTGGAGTAATTCCTGAACTCATGTTGCGACGCCAAATGTTGTATTCAGTAGAACTCGTAATATACACGTAAGTAAATCCTTTTTAATTAGCAGAGAACGGTAGCAACGTGATTCATGAAAATTAGCAGAAGCATGTCCTCAGCCGGTACTGGCCGTACAAGTAATCTGCAGTCATCCAATCAATACCAAGCATACACGTGGTGCAGTCTGATTGGTCAATGTAATCAAGGTTGCATGTGAGGAACGTCCATGTCACGTGCGTGTATGTCTGTGTCTGTGTGTGTNTTGGAACACGCTTGTAAATTGAGATCGTCAAATTTTCGCTGTCCTTCGTCTCCGAGCAAATGACGCAAAAGCCTTAACTTGTGGCTTTCATCCAGAACAATCAATGGATTTAGCACAGGCAGGAGATCGATATAATTGTTAAACGAAGTTTTCCATTGTTCCCAGGACTCTGGAGTAGGTTGAATGTTACGGTCTATCCAAAATGGAGCAGGTGCAGTAATTCCTGAACTCATGTTGCGACGCCAAATGTTGTATTCAGTAGAACTCGTAATATACACGTAAGTAAATCCTTTTTAATTAGCAGAGAACGGTAGCAACGTGATTCATGAAAATTAGCAGAAGCATGTTCTCAGCCGGTACTGGCCGTACAAGTAATCTACAGTCATCCAATCAATACCAAGCATACACGTGCAGTCTGATTGGTCAATGTAATCAAGGTTGCATGTGAGGAACGTCCATGTCACGTGCGTATATGTCTGTGTCTGTATGTGTGTATCGAGTATTGATGATGCGCGTTCAAGGGGGCAATGAATACAAATGTTATCGAACAAATGCGTTAAACAGCACAACAATAATTAACTCTGATTCGAACTGTGATATTTTCTTTGTTTTACTTCTGTTTGTTTTACCGAGCACGGTTTTACGCTCAGGCGTATATATAAGCTGGGTCCTGTTCAAACCCACGCTGCACGTGTGACAAGCTATCGCTCTGCTACTGCATTTGTTGCTTGCTTTCTTTAGCGTCACCTTGACACGTTTCGGTACTATCTAGTACCACGATTCGCCAATAAACGTCCACGAGTATTATCTAGTACCACGATTCGCCAATAAACGTCTACGACTCCCACGAGTGTTTTTGTCTACTCCGGGCAACGAGACACTAGGAGGTCGCGCACATACTGAGACCCGTAAGAAAACATACCGGAGTAGTACCACGATTCGCCAATAAACGTCTACGACTCCCACGAGTGTTTTTGTCTATTTCGGGACTTTGAGACTCGTAAGAAGACTTACCTGCAGGCCGTCAAAACCGTTCAGCTTCATTGGTGAGCCCGCATCGTCTACTTTGTAAGTCAAATCCAATTTGGTTTGCACTTTTACTTCACGGTTCATTATCATTTGCACGATATAACTATTTATCGCATTTGTACGATGCCTGAGGTATGTCCACCAGTAGACGACCGGGAACCGGCTATTAGTTTTAAGCCAGTCAAGCCAAGAGCCTTTATCCCCCACGACCCCGAAGTGTGGTTTGCTGCATTAGAAACGCAGTTTATCGCTCGTAATGTGCGTACCCAGCGCTCCAAATACGTTTACGCGGTAGAGGCAATCCCTGGCGAACGAATGTGCGCCATCAGGGATATTATCCTTAAACCGCCGGAGAAGGGCGCCTACGACGTTCTGAAGGCTGTTATCCGTCAGTTCTACATCCCCTCTAACGGGCAAAGGTTACGCCAGTTGCTGGCTCGTCACCCGATTGGTGACATGAAGCGAAGCAGGCATCTGGCGCGTCTACGCTCGTTAGCCGGCCCAGTAAACACCTACTCTGACATCGTCAAAGAGCATTGGATTGAATCTTGGCCGCTTCAGGTCCAACCGACGGTAACGGCTCGGCTGGAGGACTCCTGAATCGACAAAGTTCCGTCGATTGCAGATAAGATAGTTGCACGTGTCGGTAATGGAGCCAATTTCCTCGTTCCACGAAATCGCAACCGTATAGGGGGAACAGGGATAAATATGCGGTACGGCCATCACAGTCACGATCACATTGCATACATCAGCGCTTGTCTTTCAAGGACAGAGTCCCGGTGCACACACCGAACCCCTGTAGGGTTGAGCCTAGGTTGGAACGTTCAGTACAGCATGCTCACGTTCGCCAAAAGCAACCAAAGGTTCAGAAGCCACAATCGCACAAACCACCCAAAGCCTCGGATGACCCCACCGAAGGTTACCGTTTGTTCCATCGTAGATGTGGAACAGGAGCTCGCAGTAATCACGTATTCAAGTTAATGCGATAAAGTCCCCCTTAGATATCAGTGCTATGGCTAACGC